CCTATTCACTCGGGTCTTGAAGACGTCCTGGTTATACCCTTCAGGAAATACAGACTTTGGCAAAGAATTCCACTGTTTAGCAGTACGTATAAGGAAGCTTGATGCGAAGCGCTTCGTGCCTGTGGGTGGGACATCTACCAATGACGCTTTGCCGATTATCTTGTGGTACGATGATGGAAACGATAAAGAAATTACAGTTTTGAGGATTTAAAACCGTCAAATGACTTAGCGAGAGGGACTATCAGACTCTTACTGACTAAACACTACCTGGTTCTTACACTTGCTTCAAGCTAGGGCCGCAGTTAGGTACTTTCTTTAATCAAAAATAAATTATTTCGACTGTTCAATACAACATAATATAAAAAATAATCACACTTTCATTAATTGATTTTATGACCAACTTCATTTTAGTATTTTTCAGCAAATTTTTAAGAAATAAGTATGCTGTTTGACGCTAAAAAACGTAACGTCACAATACACAATCTCGTACGAAATTCATAGAAAACTGTCGTTTTTTTTTCGACAGTTCGAATAAAGTATTGAATTTGACTAGTTGGCAAATACCCAATTTAATATGGTGACCTTATCGGAACCCCAGCAGATCTATAGACCTCAGCCAATCGGTCTGCCGTTGTCATGGCAACTACTTATCAAAGAAATAACAAATATCCTTGTCAATTAAACATGGAGGTTCAAACACAATACGTCCGTCCCATCCACCATTTAAATAGCGAATAACACAATATCTATTGTAACAGTCAGTTAAATAGGTATGTTACGCAACATCAGTCTATTCAATCTTTTATTTATTTGTTTGAGAAAATCAAATTAAAAGTCAACGTCATTATTGTGTACCGATTCATTGTAGATGTCCCACCCACACGCACGAAGCGCTTCGCATCAAGCTTCCTTGTGCGTACTGCTAAGGAGTGGAATTCTTTGCCAGAGTCTGTATTTCCTGAAGGGTGTCTTCAAGGCCTGATTGAATAGGTTGCTTATGGGACGACGTGCACCACCAGGCGAGATAGTGGTAGAACGTCGGCCTACCAAATATAAAAAAAAATATTGAAACTAGAAGTACCTACTACAGGTTTGTGTGTCCAGATGTGCTAATATCAAAGAATATAACTTTTTTTACAAACTACACCTAAAAATACCGACTTCAACCCCCTTTTTTGGAGTCGGTAAATTAACATAACATAACATCACGCCTTTTTATCCCCGAAGGTGTAGGCAGAGGTGTACATTATGCCACTGTACAATGTAACACCCACTTTTCACTATTTATGTTATGAGTCCCATGTAATAAGGGGGCGAGCCTATTGCCATATACTGGACACAATTGCAGTCTCCGTGCTACCACTGATTTTTTTTTAAAACCCTGTAGTACTTTGCCCGATCCGGGAATCGTACCCGAGACTCCTTGTCTGGCCTCTCGGCCAACGAGGCAGTGTGATAATCCACTGCTGGACTCTGGTCTCCTCTATATCGGAGTTCGCCATAATTTAAACTGTTTGACGGTGAGCAGGAGATCACAGTTTAAAGGGTTCAGGTATATCAGAGAGCGCTGCTGCCCGGTCTCTATCAAATGTGCAGTCCCTTAGTCGGGTATAAGACACCCGCGGGAAGAGTAAGGGTGGTCATAAATGTATTTTACTCCGCTATCACCACGACTTAAATATATGCATAATTATTTATATTATTAAAAAAATGTCATTCCCTATAACATGGGATTCATAACATAAATAGTGAAAAGTGGGTGTTATATTGTACTTACAGTGGCATTAAGTGCCGTACCTAATGTGCACCTCTTCCTAGTCCTTCGGGGATAAAAGACGTGATGTTATGATAATAAAATATGCTAATTAATTATACCTATCTATTACTACTTATTAACTCAATGATCACAATAAAAAATAATATTTACTCAAAAATTAATTTGAAAAGAGGTAGGTAATAGTAAAATCGTAAAAGTTTTAAGTAATTATTATTACCGTAATCGTTAATCGTTAATCATAATTAAATTTCACATTTATAAGATTATTAATTAATTTAAAAAAGTGATTAAAAATTAGGTAGTTATTTGATTGAATAATTACAATTTTGAAATAATTATTGAAATTATATTAGGTGTAACTGAAATTGGAATGAAACTTGATTACCTACGCAGATTAAAAAAAAAAATATTTTGATCTGTCATCAAAATGATTCCGTATATTTCAATACTTAAGATAAAAAATAGAAGCTTTAAGGTTATCTTACATTTTAGTCTTAGTCAGTTAGAGTCTGACACTCCCTTTCGCCGCACCCGGGCGGGAGAAGTCATTGGATGATAGTTCCCCTAAAAAAATCTATTTTCTTAAATGTGGTTCAGTATTTGTAAAAACTAAAAAAATTTCACTGTCTACCTAAATTAATTTTACAAAATTCAAAACTTTATTGAAAAAATAAATAGGTAGACATCTTGGACTTATTCAAAAACGACTTACTTTTTCCGACGGGATATACCATATCCCTGAATTAGTCTTGTTTGGACTTTATTTAAATTTTAGGTAGGATTTCTAATTCGAAACTAAGTATAAAGCTGTCAATTAAATAAACTAATTGAATAATAAAAAGATGATTAAAAAACTAAAAACGTTCAATTTTTATTTAATGTCACCAGTGACAGCTAAAAGCGCGCGCAAAAATCTGCCACAGATACCGGTAACGAGGGCTATTCTCAACATTTTAGCAGAACCCTAAAGTATAATTACATTCTGCAATAAAACGCTAACAATTGTAGATTTTATCGCCTTCATACAATTTAATATTAAGTAACACAACTTAATTACAACAGTATTATGTTATAACTAGCTGTTGCCCGCGACTTCGTCCGCGTAGAATAATGACTTCTGGCAGAATTTAGGCTTTTGAATTAGTTTTTATCAAGGGATATTCTACGGTAATGGATGTCGTCAGAATTGATTCAGTCCCGTAGATGATAGCGTGATAATATGTAGCCTATATGTTTACCAGACTTGTTAGTAATATTCATGCAAAATTTGAAATAGTAGTGCAGTACTTTTTGAGATCATCACGGCCATACATACAGATAAACAGACAAAAATTCTAAAAATCACATTATTGGCTTCGGTATCGATTAGAGATCACGCTTCAAATATTCTTTTAAAAAATATTCAATGTACAGTTTTGACTTTTCTACGATTTATTATATGTGTAGATAGCTGTTGGCCGCGACTTCGTCCGCGTAGATTAATGACTTCTGACAGAATTAACCAGAATCAATTCAGTGCCCAAGTAAGATTTACCTATTTTGAAATGATTTATCGTAGTTTCAATAAATAAATAATCCCGCAGGGATCTTACCAGTACAGTGCCCGATCACGTAAGGTTTGAGTAATAAAAACTATTCTATCGACTATTGTTGTACCGAATCTCTCTAGAATAAGTTCAGTGGTTAAGATTTAGAGAGTCCTGGGGCATTGACGCATAGTTCCCGTTCTCGTGAGACATCTGTGAAAAAACTATCATACGTTACCCAGGTCCCAAATCATCGTTTTACCGAATGTAATTCAAAAAGATTCAATGATTCTAAATTCAACGGCTAAGAAGATTTATACAAACTCTCATTCCCTATTTTATCCCCTTAGGGGTGGAATTTATCAAAATCCTTTCTAAAGAGATACCTATGTCATAGTAACTTTATGCATGCAAAGTCTCAGCCCGATCAATTTAAAACTGGCAAAGTATCATACTTTGGGGTGAGAATGTTCAAAAACCTTTCTAAAGGGACGTTTACGTCATAATATCCATCTGCACGCCGAATTTCAACCCGATCGGTGTAAAACTGACAAAGCCTCACACAAACGTTCATCCCCTATTTTACCCCCTTGGTGGAAATTATCAAAATCCTTTCAAAGCGGATGCTTACGTCATAACATCTATCTGCATGCCAAATTTCAACCTGATCGGTTTAAAACTGACAAAGGCTCATATAAACTTTCATCCCCTATTTTACCCACTTGGGGGTGGAAATTATCAAAATCCTTTCACAGCGGACGCCTACGTCGTAACATCTATCTGCATGCCAAATTACAACCCGATCGGTTTAAAACTGACAAAGGCTCATATAAACTTTCATCCCCTATTTTACCCACTTGGGGGTGGAAATTATCAAAATCCTTTCATAGCGGACGCCTACGTCGTAACATCTATCTGCATGCCAAATTACAACCCGATCGGTTTAAAACTGACAAAGGCTCATATAAACTTTCATCCCCTATTTTACCCACTTGGGGGTGGAAATTATCAAAATCCTTTCATAGCGGATGCTTACGTCATAACATCTATCTGCATGCCAAATTACAACCCGATCGGTTTAAAACTGACAAAGTCTCATACAAACTTTCATCCCCTTTTTTACCCCCTTGGGGGTGGAAATTATCAAAATCCTTTCTTAGCGAATGCCTACGTCATAACATCTATCTGTATGCCAAATTTTAGCCCAATCTGTAAAGCAGTTTAGGCTGTGAGTTGATAGATCACTATGTCAGTCAGTCAATCAGTCAGTCAGTCAATCACCTTTGAATTTTATATATATAGATTCCTTTAAAAAATTCTACTACGACGGTATCCAATCAATAATTCAACATGGCGTCCGTCTATCAATATAATAATTCTGTCAAAGTTTAATTGAAATTCTGTACAAAGCGTACCGCAGTATTATTGATACATTATGAGTGCGCGAAAGAGCCATAGAGCCAATTTACAACTGAATTACAAATCTGGTCGAAGCCCCACTAAATACACACTCAGGTTAAATCAATTGTCATACATCCGTCTCTTTCGACTTACACCGAAGCGTGTAAGTTAAAACAGGATGGAGCACATAAAATATGTTGTCGAGCAATGAAAAGCGAACGGTTAACGCCTACAAAACGAATGGGGAAGGGTAAAAAGCTTGTTTGTTCGGGGGCGTGTCTTCACGACGCGGCGAGGGGAGCAGTCACTCGGCAGCGGCCGTCGGGACCAGTGCACGCGTCACACGCAACTGACATTTCAATCTGACAGCTGTGGCTGTCCATCACGCGCCCTTTGCCTCAAAAAACTAGTGCGGTAGAATTAAGAAATCATGCTAATCGATTTCGATAAATATTAATGTGCATTCAGATGAACTGACTATATTTATTTGTGAACTGTGCCGTATAATAAACTTGTAGCTGTATAAGTGAGATGGCGTTCGAAGATCGTTGCAGTCCGAACCAGGCGAACAGCCCTGGGCCAGTGACGGGAAGAGTTCCTGCTCCACACCCTGAGACGCCGATGAGCTACTGCCCACCAAGTCAGTATACTTGCACCACGATAGACTCGAGATATGAGCGAACCTCCCCTAATATGACGATAGTCAAAGTGCAACCAAACTCTCCGCCCCCAAGTCCTATGAATCAGAGTGAGATGGACGGATTCCAAAACTACTACAGGCCTGAAACGCCTGATGTGAAACCTCAGATAGGAATAGAAGATCAGCGGTTTGAGAATGATAAATTAAGGGCACAAAGGCCCCAACCATCTGTGCCTATAGCCTTCTCAATCAATAACATCCTGCACCCTGAATTCGGACTTAATGCGTTAAGAAAAACGAACAAGATCGAAGGTCCCAAACAAGTTGGGCCCAACCACAGCATTTTATACAAACCCTACGACTTATCGAAACCACAAAATGATTTTCAAAAATACAGTTTCGATTACCTTAAATCTAAAGAGTCGGAGTTTGGATCCTTACCACCACTTGGGGGCTTACGGCAGACGGTTTCTCAGATCGGGGAGCAGGTTCCTAAAGAAAGGGAGATGCCTAAGGTGATAGAGAATCAGAAAAGGCCTGATTCAGCAAGTTCTGTGGTTTCTTCGACGTCGAGTGGTGCTTTATCGACTTGTGGGAGTACAGATACAAACAGTCAGTCAGGAAACGGGACATTATGGCCAGCTTGGGTTTATTGCACTAGATACAGTGATCGGCCTAGCTCTGGTAAGTAACAATTCCATTTTTCTTCATCCGCAACCAACCTTTTTTGTGTTGTCATTGTTTATTCCATGTGACAGGTGTTTTTTGCTCTGTGGCAAGTGCAGTTTTTTTTTTTTGCAAAAAGTTTGACAGCGTGTCACCGGGTTCCATTTTTTTTTATTTATGCACTTTACTTGCGGTCTCTTGACACAGTTGTGAATTATTATCGAATTAGTGAAGATAATTTTTTACTAAGGTGTAAGCTTAATTAAAATAACTTTTTTTATGCGCAAGTTTGATGATGAAACTTTAAAATACATATTTAATGACATGAACATAAGTAACTTACGCCGTGTTTTATGCGCCGATGTTATCATACCTATCTATTTCCAATACCCCTTTCTATTCCAAAATCAATTTAAAAACTCGACCGTGTCCCATAGACATTAAACAACTTTAAAATATGTCGCTTGGACAAAAACATACATAAATATTTTGACAATGAGCCCTCAGGACTATTGTATATTTTTGAATACGTTAAAAGAAATGATCCGTAACTTTGTACGCCGTAGTTTATGCCTGTTGACACATCATTTTTTTTGTAATGGACTTCCATATTTATTTTATTCAAAACATTGATGTTTTATTTTTTTTTTTTTTTCCTGTTTGAACGCGGCGTTCTTTATGAAAATACAACTAGGCCTTCATACGACATCTTTATTGCATTTCAATTTTTAATTCGATGTTTGTTTTTTTTTGTTCGATATTCATTTTTTTTTGGCCTATCTAGGTGGGTTATTCTTTGTTTTTTTGACATTGTTTTTAATATGGCCGCCGGAAAAAATATCGTTTGGTAATAATAGGTTATTTTCTTTATTTATTTTTATATTTATGCGAAACATAATTTAATAGGTGAGGTAGGTTTTTGTTCGTTTTTACAAACTTTTATATTTTTATTTACAATAGCCACCGATTTTAGGTACCAGCTTTTGTTTTATTTTGCAATCGATCTGAGGATAGCCGAAATAACATTATTTTTAATGATTCGTGTCATGGAAGCACTAAACTGGACGTTTATCTTCAAACACGATAAAGAGTAGCTTAGGCTCATTGGCATCCCGTCGCTTGGAGATTACGAATAAGAAGGTGCTCTATTTCGGACAAAATATTTCAACAAAAATTTTTTTCAGTTTTTTTTAAGAATTTATTTTACTGTTGTTTGTATCATTGTTATCTTGTACGGATATTTGGTTGTAAGTAGCGCTTAACTGAGTAGCTTAGAACATATTGAATTGATCAGGAGTTTTGACCATTCTTTGTTATTTTTGTCTATAAATTATTAATTAACTGTATCTGTAAGGGTCAGAAGTAGGAACTTAAAGATTTGCACAAAGGGGTATGACAGGCAGGTGAGGTTTTTATCCCAAAGTTGGAAAATTACGGCAGAAAATATATCATTCTACTTTTTGGTCGATATATTCTTATTATTTGAGTTGCGTGACCATTTTTTTTACAATAGACTAGCTTTATATTACATGGGAATGAGACTAGTTAATAATACAAATTAGCGAATTTATCTACGTAACCATCTTTGACACTAATAAATGTAAGTGACGTCGACCTGTCAAAATTTGACCTGTCAGTTTGACATTAGAAAACGAAGTGTCAAAAAATAGCTTTCGTCCGGTGAAAGTGCATGTCAAAATAAATGTGCGAATAAGTCTTGGGGTCAGAAATCTAGTTAGGGTTAGTTGTTGGACAAATAAGGCTTTTAGCAATCTTTTTTTTTTGAATACCTTGTTTTGGTTTATAAATATTTTATATAAAGATTTGTTGAAGCTTTGAAACTGATCATGAATCTTGTCTGAGAATATTTTTTTTGTTAATCTAATTCTAATAATTATTGTATTTACATATAACTGCCTCGTTAGCCGAGTGGTCGCAAGTGCAACTGCCGGGCAAGGGATCTCGGCTTCGATTCTCTGGTCGCGCAAAGTATAACTGGGTTTTATTTAATTCTCAGTAGTGGCACGGAGTCGGAGGAGAGATTACATAGGCCTTATAACATACATAGTGAACAATGAGTGTTACATTGTATAGCGGCATAAAGTGCTCTGCCTTCCCCTTCGGGGATATAAGGCGTGATGTTATGTTTATGTTTACAAAACGCAAGGATATAATCCGAAACCCCTTTTTAACCCAAAGGTGGAAAATTCCGACTATACATACGCGTTTGGAGAACGAAATCGAATAATTTTCCTGGCATGTGTTTTAAAATTGATGGACGCGACGTCTCCTCTTATGCAGTAACGCAGCTACAACCAGTCAACCCCAGGGTTTTTGCCAGCATCCTGAGTGGGTATACAAACACTAATCGCACATATTTAGTTGTTTATCACACAGAGACCTGTAGCAATAATTCATGGCCTGTGTGATCAACAGAATTGCAGTCCGAACCTCACGGTGCCGTGTCCGAAACCCATACACGACACCAATTGTCCAGATAATACGTCAACAGTGCAACAATACCTATTAATTACAATTGAATATCTACAATTACAAATTACAATCGTTCGAAAAAATAAAATAAATATTTATTTCAACCATTAGTATTGCGCGTTAATAATATATTCAAACTACGATTGTCTGCCTGTCTGTCATCATGTTTAACACATTATTGTTTTTGTAATGTATTGTATGTTAATTTAAAGAATTTTAATATGTTACAGACTATGTTAAAATTTTCTGGAGTTTGTTTTAGAAATGTTTGGAGAAGATTTGAATTATAATATGTAGGTAAACTGACTGTCGAGAAAAGAAAAAAAATAATTACAAAATAATTCCTCAAGCGCTCAGTCTAGAACCGACGGCATTAGGGTGTTTTCAAGTCATTAAGATACTGATAGCCCTCTCAGAGAATCTAATGAGGATTTTCCGCCGTAAAGTAAAAAAATAACAGTTTATTAAATACATCTATTATTTACTTTGACAATAAATTAATTAATAAGTAGACACAAAACAAATAAATAGTAATTTGATCCCACAAGCTTTACAATTTCAATATTTGCATTTATTACAAAGAAAACAACATCAATTTAAACTTTGGAGCGAACACAATAAACCGTTGACATTCCGTGTCAACAAGATGGCGGCCTGACAGCTGTCAACGGGATTGACGCGGGAAAATGACGGGAACAATAATTCTAATGTGAATTTTCTTTGGAAAACAATGGCTTGTAGGTAGCTAATTTAATATTTTGTTATTTGTTTAGTATGATTGTGTGATTTTTGTGAGCAGTTGAGTGAAATTACATTTTTTGCTTTGGTGTTTGACAGCCCAGATTTTTGTTTTTACATTGTAGTCTTTATGTTTAGATTTTATTATATTTTAAGTGAAAAACTAAAAAATGTTTACCTACCTCAAGTTTTTGGTAAGAATCGAATAATAAGTGGGGATTTTTTGCCCAAGTGGGGTTTCGGGATCGATGAATCCCGATTGAATAGGTGACCAGGCGGGAGACTGATTGAATAGCAATAATAAAAATTAACGGAAATCAACACCCAAGTTACTCCTGACGTTTGTTAACCTTTATTTTTTTTTACATTTGCGGGGTTTATGTCGAATGACAATGGGAGTTTCCGACTTACATTGCGTCTATCTGGCTTCAGTCAGGGGAAATGCGTTTCTAAAATGCAAAACAGTAATACAAAACAAAAAGATACGAAATTACAAGAAACAAAATGTTGAACGACAATTTTAAATGAATCCTGGCTGTCTATGCGTCGCACAGATAATAATCTTTTTCGAAAGAACCTCATTACCGCTACTACCGAGTGCTACCACAGATAACTTAAAGATCGTTACCCTTACAATCCGCCATTTTGATTCGCAAGCTATTTCTTGTAAAAGCATGATTTTAAATGGACATTAAAGAATCTCGTAGAATTTCGTAATCATTCGCTTTAGCTTAAGAAGCAAACAGGTTCGATCTTTCAACGCGACCGCGGTTAAGTTGAAGCTCATTATTAAAAAAAAATGTCTTGACAACATAATTATACTGTTGCAATTATTAAAATAACCCTGTGAGACCATTTTTCAACTCTATTTTTCGCAGTACAGAGTATATTTTCGCAATATCGAAGGAAACCCTTCGCACATTGACACTACCTTTATTTTTCCATATGTCTAAACCATTTTACTTTTACTGTTAACAAAAGTTTTTTTTAGCAAACAAGCGTCTTTTTCCTCTGTAATAAGGCGGTGAATCGATTGATTGAGTTTAACGAGCTGCGTGGGTATGTTTGTGGAATTAACAGGTAATGTAATGAAACAATTTAACTCAATTATAACGTGCAATTATTCTTTTTTTTTTTCGAGCGTCCGCCATTTTGCATCGCTCGCGTTATGTTGGTAACGCCCAGTAGCATTTAAGGTGCGATTCCGTGGCAGATTATAATTATAATTTAAATAAAATATTGCGCTCAAAATAATATATTCATGCTGTTATTTATTATATAATTATGATCCGTAAAGGTGTGAATTGCGGGCTGATATTTTTTTTATAAATATTAAGTTGAACTTTAAAAAAATATATTTCTTTTTTGGTTTATTACGTTACGATGTCAGTAAATTGTGAATTTATCGGCTTATTAAGTTGAAAGTAGCAGTTTTTTGAAAGATTAATCAGTTTCATACTTCATACATTTTAAAGTGACTTGTATGCCCTAAATTATTGGACTTATTATTGAACCGTTTGGAGGTGAGGTCCGAGGACCCATAGTTTATTTAAGAATATTTCAAAACGCCTAGTCTACGTATCTCATTACCTTCCAGCCTTCCTGGTTTAAAAAAAATATAAGCAAACTATTAGGTATACGAATAGATTATTCTGATCTAAAAAAAATACTTACACACTTTATCAAAACATCATAAATTAATACAGATACACAATAAAAGAAAATATCATAACTTGTTTAACTACGTTCATATTTAATGTATTTTTCCCTTCATGCCAAGTAAACTG